GTGACGTCGACCTGGGAAAGCCTGCGTGCCACACCCGAGAAACTCATCCCGCAGCCGGCGAGCCTCAAGATTGGTCGCGTTTGGTCAAGATTTCGCGTGTATGAACTATTCTCCAAATCAAGTGGAAGGCCATTTCATGTAACTATGTGTTTACGAGTAATTCACTACTATCTTTTGTAGTTAAATTCTGTTCAAGGTAATTTTGTTTTAAGTTACCAAACCCCCCCCCCCCATTATCCTTTCCTGCTTGGCAATTTGCAGATAAAATGATAAGGTAAATATGTATGAAAAGTATTTGTGTTCTTGCTGTACCACCCAACCGCTAAGCCGGGCAGCTTACCAACGGAAAGGGAGTGTTTCCAGGCGGATGGTTGCGGTATAATATAGTAAATTACTTCCCCTTAAGGGCCTCTCTTCCCTTAAGGGCCGGTTTCACCAATCGGAATCAAGAAGATGATCCCGAGTTGATCCCGTTGTTCGTTTCTCCACGCACTTGACACGTATCAACGTGTCTTACTCGGATCAAATTTGACTCGCAATTGATCCGTCGCCGAGCGGTGGATGACGGCCAGATCTGGAGTTATTTCTCGGCTTGGTCGTCTAGCTATTCCAGTTTTCCGTATTTTTTAAGTAAATACCTGTACTTATATTCAGTATGGAAGTATTCGCTAAGAAGGATTGCGCGTAATATTTGTTGAGCAAAAGTGTTTTTTCAGATAGTATTGTAAATAAAAGTAGGGTTAACACAATTGTAGTTTAGAATTCTCGGTATTGGGAAGTAAAATTTAAATATATTTTGTCTTCAAATTAGTGTAATTATAAGTATCATTAGTAAAAAAGTATTTTGCGATATCTGTATTGCAATTGGCGTGGGATAGTTTTATTGAATACTTTTTTTTAGTGTAGTAATACTTTAAATTTTTGTTCTGGTTAGGTTAGGTTGTGTCGTAAAATGCACACTCTCTTATATTTTGAAGTGTTTTGCAATTACAAATTCATTTCGAATTAATGAAAACCCAAATACATTTTGCAAACGTATGTAGTTGGCTAATTTTTAATTGCGTTTAGAAAAACCGAAGTTAGAGTGTACGTTTTCTTAATCGTGAAGAAATATTTGCTGAAAAGAAACAGCGTTGAACTGACTTCGTGTTCGTCACACAGTGCAGACGACAAATCAGTTAGATTGTTTTGAGTTTTCGGTAACACGTACTTTTAGCCTAAAATTTGTACGGCGTGCTTATGGAAAATACTCTTCAGCAAAAGAGCGAGTAAAAAAGTTTTGAATCAACGTATACAATAGAACTGTAACACCCGTGGAATAACTGTTCCGGTACGTGCTGATTTCTTACGTGGTAATAAGACTCTAGTAATAAATATTTTGAAGGGGTCCTTGTCCAGCAGTCGAAGCAGATGTTCTGAAAAGAAAAACGGGCAATCCTTACTGCTAATAAAAGATACAGTCTAGCATCCTATCAGACGTCTTAAGATGATCTGCGTTTAATTATCATTATTTATGTAAATGAATATTTATGTATACATGATATGTATGTCTTTCTATATGGGCGTAGCTATATATATATATATATATATATATATATATATATATATATATAT